AAAAGCTTTTCCAAGGAAGCTAGTGTCATAGAGGATAAGTAAAAATTTGCCAGATGGAAAGTCACTTTCAGTGAAAGAAATAGTGAGCAAAAGCACGCTTGAAAGAGAACTATGTACACAGATGTTACATAATTGTAGAAGCTGATGCTGGGAAGGTAGATGAGACTTCAGAGTAAGGGCCTGTTGTCCAGGGTATGCACAGCTCAGTAGAAATAAGAACATGTAAAAGATACATAAAAGCAGCAGAAGGGCATAATCAGAGGAACATGCAAGACCATAAGCAGGGAGATCAGTGAATAGTGCAAGCAAAGAATGAGAAGAGGGAACACAGTGCAATGGGAAAGGAGGTAAATGATAAAATAGTGTCAAGGACAGGATGTGGGGGGCAATATTAGTAGTCATTATCTCTGGCTGAGTGAGATTCTTGATTGCCAAGGTCACTAAAACAAAAAACAAGCCATCTAAATTAGGACTGATAGAAAGTAATACTTATCAAAGTGGGGGATGAGAAAAATGGTCAAGCAATGGGTCTAAAAATGATAAATCCTGGCCGCATTCTAATTCGAATGAATAATTTTGTATTTTACATAGTCCATAGCTTACTTTAAAACTTTTTTCCACCGAAACCAGTTTGGCTCAGTGGCTAGAGCGTCAGCCTGCGGACTCAAGGGTCCCAGGTTCGATTCCGGTCAAGGGCATGTACCTGGGTTGCAGGGGGATGTGCAGGAGGCAGCTGATCGATGTTTCTCTCTCATTGATGTTTCTAGCTCTCTATCTCTCTCCCTTCCTCTCTGTAAAAAATCAATAAAATATATTTTTAAAAAAACAACTTTTTTCCACAAATATCCTAACAGAGATACACTCTTAGAGAAGAAACTCAGAAGTTTCAGTGACAGCAAAAAGAAAATTGGAAACACTGTCTACTGAGGACCCAGAAAGAAAAAAAATCTACTCAGGGTTAATTTTATTGGTAAATTGTAAAAGTGAAAAGTAAGTGGTGGGAATAGATAAGGAAACATGGTTGGAGTCATAGGGACAATCAAAAGGCATTTAAGAAACAGATATAGAATAATTCTGGTAGGTATTCCACAAGTATCTTTCAGGTTTTCAACACCAATCACATTGAAGAGCTACACCCAATGATTTAATAAGTTGATTGTACTCCAAGTGCATATCAACTTAAGTGAACTGAAGAATTGGATCTACAAGTTAGGATTTATTCCAAAATATTGTTTTCCCATTGCTTTAATTCCCACTGTTCAACTTTCCTGGGTAATTAATATTGCGAGCTCTCCTTTTTCTTAACTCCCATCCATAATGTAACTGTCAAATAATTTAAATATTTGGGATACTTAATAATATAAGCAGTCTATTCTTTTTAATCTTTATTGATTTGAGAGAAAGAAAGCAATATGGATTTGTTGCCCCACTCACTCATGCATTTATCAGTTGACCCTTGACCCTTGTATGTGACTGGACCGGGCATTGAACTGGCAACCTGAGGGCATCAGGACAACACTCCAACCCAGCTACCCAGCCAGGGAAAGTACTCTGCTCTTAATTTTAAAATGTTGAGTTGAACACTTTTCATTATAATTTTTTTCAATCAAGTTAAATTTCTCTATTAATGAGTTAGTGAACTTCAGAGATAAAAATAAAATGTATACACTATATAGCCTCTCCATTCCTACAAATATTAGATATAAATAAAAGTCATCATAAAATGAACTTGGACTTACTAGTAAAGTTGCATATTCTTAATGTTGCAACTGCTGTCAGTATTGGCTTCCCAGCTCTCTTTACACTTTGAGTAGTATAAGAAACTTGCCATTTTCACTAGGAACAGTAAAGCTCAAGTAACACAACAATTAAAGTTTTGATTTTGTAGTTCAACTTTAAAGTTTCACACTACCCCCACCTCATCACTTCTCTACATCCTTCACCTTGAAAGAAAGAGCACAAACCTGGGGATTGTTAAAAAGTAAAAATTAAATCTATAATGTTATTTGAACTCAAAAAGTGTTGTAGTTTGTAAAGTTGACAAGGTCCTTTTACTTTTTAATGCTTCCCCAAGTGCTTGTCAATTATATAAAGTTGTGAATAATGAATGGCATAAAACGCAGTTCCAAAGTCTTTTTGTATTTTTTAGGGACTATATTACATGTTAAAACATTACATACTAGAGTAAAACAAACAAAAAATATAGAACTACTTTTTCCCACTAACTAGTCCTTAGCGGGAACATATGAAATCTTGCTCCCTAGCATATGTCATCAGTTTAGCTCAAATTAACCCTTATAAAAATAAAAATAGTCCTTAGCTTTGCCTAGAATTTTCATACAGCTGATGTTAGCTTTTTTTTTAATGTTCTGACTAGTATCTTACCGTATGCATTCACTAGAGTGTTCCTGTATGATTTCTATCCAGATCTACTCAGAATATAGGATAGGGCAGCACAAGCCGCTGATGCCTTTGTGGTTAGTATAAATACCTTTCATCCTGCTTATGAGAGAATTAAGGGGATGGATTAGTGAAAATTCCAGTTAACTAAGGGTTTAAGTATGTACCTCCAAATAATGTACCCAGAATTCCCCTCCCTCATTTCCTCGAGATCTTCAAGTTAATCAAAGAGGCTGATGTAGAGTTACAAGCTACTTCCCAAATTGCCTGGAAGAAAACAACCTTTTCTATAATTTCTAAAAGTTAGAATAAAAAATAGTGTGGCTCTCTCTTCAATAACTTCAAGTAGGTCAAATTTGCTTTCTTTTTCCCCGAAGATTATGGTGTCAAAGCAGGAAAGTGAGATTCTTTGTAAGTGTAAATGTATGGCGCTAATATAAGCTGATTTTATTAGTTCCTGTTTAAGTTGTTAGTAAAAGTGTAACAAAATTTAGATTTCAAATTTCCACTTGATAATATAAGACATCTTTTACTACATTTTCAATTGATACTTATAATTTGCACACTATACATAAATTGGGAGATTAAAAATGTTTTAAGACCTGGACGGGTGGCTTAGCTGGAGCATCATACTGGAAACCAAAAGGTTGCAGGTTCAATTCCATCAGGGCACATGCCTAGGTTGTAGGTTTAATCCCAGGCCGTGGTGGGTATGGGAGACAACCAATCACTTTTTCTTTCACATTGATGTCTCTTTCCCTTCCTCTCGCGCTCTCTAAAACCAATAAAAACATATCCTAGGGTGAGGATTACAGAAAAAAGTTTCAAATCATCTGTGTGTAAATGTACACTATATAAAGAAAAAAGAAAATATTGAATGTCAACTATAATTGAAAAAAAATTTTAATGGTAAAAAAAGAAAAAAGAAGAGGGAAGGAAGAAACACTTACTTTTTCTTCTGTCTTTGTACAAGAAAACTTCAAAATGTTTCTTTTTAAAAGATATTGAGCTGAGTTTTGAATTGGGATTTTCAAAAGGAAAAAATATGATCATATGTTTTTTGAGAAATCACCCTGGCAGTGTAGCTCAGTTGGTTAGAGTATCCTTCCCACAGCAAGGTTGAGTTCAATCTTTAGTCAGGGCACATACCAGAATCAACCAATGAATGCATAAACAAGTGGAACAATAAATCAATGCTTCTCTCTCCCCCCCCCCTCAAATCAATCAATAAAAAAATTATTTTATGTGAAATCACTTGTTTTAATAAAATATATTTTATGTGGCATATGAACCACAAGGTGGTGCTATAATTCCATGCTGGTACTAATGTTTTAGAAGTTAATTGGTAATTTTTATTTTAAACTCTTGATTTTTAAAAATATATATTTTTATTGCTTTCAGAGAGGAAAGGAGGAGAGCGAGATAGAAACATCAATGATGAGAGAGAATCATTGATCTACTGCCTCCTGCACACCCCACACTAGGGATGGAGCCCGCAACACCCGCACGTGTCCTGAGAATTGAACCGTGCCCTCCTAGTTCACAGGTTGACGCTCAACCTCTGAGCAACACTGGCCAGGCTAAACTTGATTTTTAAAATTATTTTGTAATTGAAAATATAAAGCTAATTGGATTTGCCCTAGAAATATTTACTGAAACTCTTCTAATAGCAAGGTTTTATGCTAACTTCAAAAGCTCATAATTTTAAGTCTAATGACTAAACATATATTAGAATATTAAAAATGCTTTCTTAAAAGTTATTTCTACTTAGAATTTTAACTTTATGTTAATGTTAAATATGTGACAAATTTCAAATTACACACATATATTATAAACAGGTGGGTAAATAATATACAATCAGATGAACTAAGTAATAATAATATTCTCTTTTTCCTCTCAAATAATAGAATCAATTTTCTTGAAGTATACCCAGGATGATTACTGCATTTTTATTTATAAAGTTAAAAAATAATATTTTATTTAGTAACCTAAAATTTATTTTTTTCTCTTAACTTTATCTAAAACTTTTTCTCTCTTCAGAAAAATGTATTACTTCCCATCACTTAAAAAAAACCAAAAATACCTCACTGTGTATCTTGTAATACTGGACGGCCACCATCTGTGTCTGTGCTGCTGGTCTTAAAATGTGTTACAGAATAGAGCACTAAAATCCTCAACACATTTTTCACAGTTAACTTTCCGACCTGCTTCTAAATCTGAAAGAGGAATCATGCCCTTACTTTCTCAATGGTAACTGAAAATGTGTTGCTGCTTTTTCACTGAGCATGAAATTGTTGTAGTTTTGTTTTATTTCATTTTCAATGAGCATTTTTAACTTTTCATTACAACATATTCATCAGTACAGATGGCAAAATGGTATGTATGACAGCCTCTTGGGTACAATATGCAAGTTCCAGTTGGAGTGTTTCCAACAGGATGTAAGCTATGGTCCTGAAACCTGTAGTTTTAAAAACATATTACTTAGCACACTGCCAACAAATGTCAACACAAAAATACAGTGCTGTAATGAGTTCACTCTGTAAAAGAAGTGTACTGGCACCTAAGTCTTCCTAGGAAAAGTAAAACAGAGTAAAAGCATACAATCATACCACAAAAATACTTAAGTATTTATTCAATATTGTATGAAAAAGCTCATATACCAAATGGAATTAAAATTCTTAACAAAAATACTGCAGTATATTAAAATTTATAGGGAATTCTTAAAATATACAACATATACAGTAGCCAAAGTCCTGGAAAAGTTCATGTAGAAAAATTCTATAGTGAGTGATTTGAACCTTTCAGTAACTCTGCAGTTTCTTCAAACCTGAAAAAATAAGTAATACATTAAGTAAATAAATATCATAATGAGGCATAGGTTTTAAGTTGCTAAAATTATGCATTTAAGCTAAAATAAATTTTAACATTTCTCTTTTTTACAAGTATAGTCACTGTTAATAAGTATACTATGGTCAGAAGGGAGGAATAACAATTGGAGTCAATTATTTCTGGGAGCATAAGCTATTTCAGTACTTCTCAAATTTCAAGAAATATAGCTTTTTAAATAGTAGGCTACCGAATAACTTAAATATGATTTCATATTTCCTTTCAACTGCACTTTAGATACAAGTATCATTTTTACTATTACCTTACCAATAACTTTCTGAAAAACACTAGCAATACTTAATGCTTAAAATGTCTCCAAACCACCCATCTACACATATCATTTAACATTTTGATAAATCAGTTATCAAATCACTGATTAACTATCCTCTTGATTAACTATCAACCAAAAATATTCCTGCACTCTTTAATCTACAATTAATTCCATTAACAATGTTTTATATCACTTGTTGGAAACCAAAACAGTGACTCATCTCACAAACACATAACTGTAGGAGGATTTATTATCCACTTGAGTCCTGAAGGAAATTCCACACCTGATTGAGAGACCTTTAAGGTTTGAAACACATATGCACATTCTACATATACTGTAATCCAATACAATTCCCTATAGAGAAATGAATTTCTGTTGCCCCTTTCTGTTACTTACATTTTTTTCATCCTTTCCATTTTCTGGATTGTTGTTTCCTTTAATTTAAAAAGCAAAAAATTTAGGCAATTTCTCAAAATAAACCATCATCAAAGATGGACTGTGAACATATAAAACACAGACTAAAACATTGCATTAAGTACTGTTTACTTATCACAAAGAATTTTTATGAGAGATTAAGATTTGCATGGTTTCACTATTTTTCTTGCCAATGGCATCTACAACTAAACCTAATGCTTGCTTGTTCTCCTGACCCTCGAAACTAAATCATCTAAGCAAGCTTCCAGTTTTTCTTACCTCTGAAATCTCTTTCAGACCACAGTAATTAAGAGTTGAGGTTCTGGGAGTTGAGTCTCTAGATGTTGTTCTATAACAGGAAGTCAGAGGAATACCTACTTCCTTCTCTTTGCATCTGTTATCTGTGGAGAAATCAATTTTTCAGGTTATCTTTTCCTTTCACAGTGGAGTCAAATATCTAAATTTTTTTTTTTATATGTGAAAGAAAAATAAACATCTATATGAATAAAAGGCTAATATGCAAAGTGTCCCCTTGGGAGTTGGATTGCTTGCTATAACATGCACTGACCACCAGGAGGCAGCTCAGAACATGGCGGGCAACCAGTGGCAGCAGGGCACTGAGGAAGCAAGGGAAGGAGGAGACAGGGAGGTGGGCGGAACTGGGTAGTGGCAGTGCGCAGGTGGCAAGGGAAGGAGGAGGCGGGGAACCTGATTGGCCTTGATCGCAGGCCAGGCCTAGAGACCCTACCAGTGCACAAATTTTGTGCACCGGACCTCTAGTTTTAATATAAAATGGTTACTGGTATGCAGATGAGTTTTTAATATTCTTCTAAGATAATGACCTACATATAAAGACCTAGATGTTAAAAATTGGCCAATAATAATTACAAATAATATTACCTCTGTCATGATAACAATCAATTGAATAATAGGCAAGTTAATTTATTTTTAAATTTAAGCTACTAAATCATGGCAAATCCTCCCTACAACAGAATAAATTATAGATCATCACAGATAAGACATGTTCCTGTCAAATCAATCAACAGGCTTGAGTACCATTTTGCTGCAAAAACAAGGCCAGAAAAAAAATTAAATAGTTTTATTATAAGCCTATACAGGCAACCTCAATTAGGGAATAAAGTATTACCACATGAGGACTGAAACAATTAAAAAGACTTTTACTTTCTTCTCTCACAGAGCAGTGTCTTCTGACTATTTTTCCTGCCAATTCCTCTGCTTACTCATCAGCATGAATTTGGACAAAATGCCCAGCCCAGGATTAACATTATTTGATACTAGAGTCCTGGTGCACGAAATTCGTGCACTGGGCGGGGGGGTCCCTCAGCCCCACCTGCACCCTCTCCAATCTGGGACCCCTTGAGGTATGTCCAACTGCCCATTTAGGCCCACCAGGATTGGGTCTAAATGGGCAGTCGGACATCCCTCTCACAGTCCGGGACTGCTGGCTCCCAACTGCTTGCCTGCCTGCCTGCCTGATTGCCCCTAACTGCTTCTGCCTGCCAGCCTGATCACCCCTAACCACTCCCCTGCCAGCCTGATCGATGCCTAACTGCTCCCCTGCTGGTCTGATTGCCCCTAACTGCCCTCCCTGCTGGCCTGGTTGCCTCTAACTGTCCTTTCCTGCAGGCCTGGTCACCCCCAACTGCCCTCCCCTGATGGCCTGGTCACCCCTAACTGCCCTCCCTTGCCAGCCTGGTTTCCCCCAACTGCCCTCCCCTGAAGGCCTGGTCGCTCCTAACTGCCCTTCCCTGCAGGCCCGGAACCCCTAACTGCCTTCCCTTGCCAGCCTGGTCACCCCCAACTGCCCTCCCCTGCAGGCCTGGGTCCCCCCAACTGTCCTCCCCTGCAGGCCTGATTGGCCCCAACTGCCCTCACTTTAAGGTCTGGTCCCTCCCAACTGCCCTCCCATGCCGGTCATCTTGTGCCAGCCATCTTGTGTGTTGGAGTGATGGTCAATTTGCATATTACTTTTTTATTAGATAGGACTAGCGGCCCAGCGCGCGAAATCGCACGACACCCAGACCGGCCATGTGCAATCCGAGGGAACCCAGACCCGCCCTGCGCGGGCTGCGGGCCCCGCCTCTGCTGCACCAGCCCCGCGTGAGCCCTGCCTCGCCACACGAGCCTCATGCACCTCCTGGTGACCAGTTGTCATGACCACAGGCCTTTATGATATAGACTAGAGGCCCAGTGCACAAAATTCGTGCATGGGGGGGGGTCCCTCAGCCCAACCTGCAATGATGCCAGCGTCCCTGGCCCTGGCCTCCAGCCTGAGGCCCCTCCCCTCCCTCCGCGTGGCGGGGACGCTGGGCTCGTGTTGCTGGGGCAACGCCTCCAGCGTCCCACCTTGGCCACTATGGGTACAGCCATCTTTGTCGCAGAGTAACAGTTAATTTACATATTACTCTTTTATTAGACAGGATATTATCCCTGGTGTCCTAATTCCAAATTTCCAAGGGAGACAAAATGATTTGGCTCAACACCTTTAGTACTGGTAATCCTTAGATCAAGTATCTATTCTTGATCTAGTTATTTGAGCTCAGGTCAAGATCACATGGCACAATGTTGAAGACTAGCTACATCCCACTTTTAGCAGGCTGTATGCTGTTTACAGGTTACTGACAAATGCGTTTAATTCTCTTGCACATATTATCACATATGCAAAGCGGCTACTTAAGTATAAATTAGAAACTTGGAGATACATTTTTATTATTCTATTAGAGGCCCGGTGTACGAAATTCATGCACTCGGGGGGGGGGGGGGGACGCTCAGCCCAGTCTGTGCCCTCTCACAGTCCAGGAGCCCCGCAATCAATAGCCCCAAAGAGGTAGGTCCTGCCCACCCGGCCAGGGCTTCGCAATGGATCACCCCCACAGAGGGAGGCCTTGCCCACCTGCCGTAGCACTGCCATAGGGTAGTCTGGGCCTCCCTTTTTGGAGCAAACATGGAGCCCCCCTACTTATCAATCGCCCCACCAGCCAGTGGCCTGGGCCTCCCTCTGCAGGGCGATCATGGGGCGATGGCCAGGCCCCTGACCGATCACACCCGCCTTAGCTGGCCTGGCACCAGTGGGTGTCAAAGCATGGTTGTCCAGAAGGTCGTCCGGATGGTCATTCTTCTGTTCGGTCGATTTGCATATTACACTTTTATTATTATAGATAGCACTTAGCAATTAAAGGGGTACAAAATCTCTAAAAGTTTGCAATTCTGTACATTAAAATTTATTCAATCACTATGTCACATAAGATATGTAAGCTGGCTTCTTTAGCAATCCTTGGCTTCAGTAGTCTGTAAGTTTATATTTTCTTTGTTCCTAAGAGCTTTGCAGTTTCTAAAATATAAGGCTTGGGAGTATTAACATTACCAGACACATATTAAAATTATTTTTCTAAACTGTTGATCAAGAGACCTTTAAGGTTTGAAACACATATGCACATTTTATATATACTATAATCCAATACAATGCTATACTACCAATACTACTACCATAAGAACTTACCAAGTTTCAGAATATTCCTGCTACTACCAGAAGCACAGTCTTCATTCATTTCATCATAGTAAAAATAGTTATCATTCTGGAATAATATAGTTTAGTATTTAGAATGAAATGAAAAGAAAAACGTTCTTATTTTACATTATTACTGCTAAGCATAAAATATAAAGTTGACATGATAAATGTTTAAATATTTAAATATTTTATTTATAAAGCAATATATAAATATTCCTAAGAATAAGAAATATTTTTAAATGTTGGAATCAGATAGTAACCTTCTTGAATCTACTAACTTTACTTTTTAGGAAGGATAGACTAGAACCAGAAATTAAGATCCTAAGTAACCAAGAAAAAATTTCTCAGATTAGATGAAGCAATGGCAAATTTGGTGACTGTCTCTATAAAATTTACAATTTGGTTGAAGTAAATGAGTCAGAAAAGGAAGTTCTAATTTCAATTGTTCCTCTCCTGGCAACTTTTTCTTATAAAAAATAGGCCATTTGTACTATGACAGGATATGAAATAATTTCAAGCTTTTTAAAAACAAAAGCAAACATTATTTTACCTTACTTTAAAATACTTTAGGTACTAATAGCTCTAAAAGCTCAAGTGGTAGGTTTATCAAATTATCTTATTTGATGTAGAGAAAAACAATAGCCATGAAAATGGCAATAAAACAGCCATGTCTAAATAGGACTTCATTCCCACCAAACATTTCCCATTATCCAAATATCCTCTTATTTAGCATTTCCAAAGGAATAAACACAATAATAAACAAAAAAATACACTGTATCTGAGATATCCTATAAATACTAAGGAAAGAAAATACCTTTTTGGACAAAAGCAATTCTGTTTCAAGAAGAGTGACACGACTTATTAGATTGGTCCAGGTTTTTTCATCTACCATCACTTTTCCTTTCATTTTTTCTTCTAAAGAATTTAATCTGCACTCTATCTGAGTCAGTTTCTTAAGCTTTTCTTGGCATTCAGCAAGCAGAGTCTGTAGTACAGTAAGCTCAGGATTAGCTTTTATATCCTAAAATATTAAAAATAATATTACACAAACTGAAATTCCTTTAAAAGTCAACACATTTCCATTTCCATTGTGATATATATATATGTATGTGTATACATATATATATATATACACACACACACACACATATATATAAATATTGATTTCAGAAAGGAAGGGAGGAGAGGGAGAGAGAGAGGAACATCCTTCCTATCTAATAAAAGACAAAAAGGGTAATTAACCATACCTCTGCTATGCTTCCCATTGGCTAATCAGGGCGATATGCAAATTAACTGCCAACAAAGATGGCGGCCAGCAGCCACACAGCTGAAACAAGCAGGAGGTTTGCTTGCTCCAGTGATGGAGGAAGCCAAGGTTCCCCGCCTGCCGCAGCCCGGCTCTGAGCCCGAAAGCAACAATGTTTCAATTATAGAAGCTAACCAAACCCCAGATACCTGCTTACAGCCAGCCACGGCCTCAGAGCTGGGAGTGCCAGTGATGGCAACAATGTTTCAATTATAGAAGGTAAATAAATCCCAGAAAAAAAAAGAAAAGAAAAAAACGAGAGGCTGGGAGCTTCAGTCCCGGCCAGCCTGAAAACAGCCCTCAGCCCCTCACCAGACTGGCCAGGCACCCCAGTGGGGACCCCCACCCTAAAGGGCGTGTGCCCAGCCTGAAAACAGCCATCAGCCCCTCATCCAGGCTGGCCAGGCACCCCAGTGGGGACCCCCACCCTGAAGGGAGTGTGACCAGCTACAAACAGCCATCAGACCCTCACCCAGGCTGGCCAGGCACCCAAGCGGGACCCCCAGCCTGATCCGGAACACCCTTCAGGGCAAACCAGTCAGCCCCCACCCGTGCACCAGGCCTCTATCCTATATAGTAAAAGGGTAATATGCAAACTGACCCTAACAGCAGAAAGACTGGGAATGACTGGTCACTATTACACACTGACCACCAGGGGGCAGACGCTCAATGCAGGAGCTGCCCTCTGGTGGTCAGTTGCTCAGCCACAAGCCAGGCTGATGGCTGCCAGTACAGCGGTGGTGGTGGGAGCCTCTCCTGCCTCCTCAGCAGCGCTAAGGATGTCTGACTGCAGCTTAGGTCTGCTCCCCTAAGCTGGAAAGTGGACATCCCCCGAGGGCTGCCGGGCTGCCAGAGGGATGTCTGACTGCCATCTTAGGCCCAAACCCCGGGGAGCAGGCCTAAGCCAGCAGGTGGTCATCCCCCAAGGGGTCCCAGACTGCGAGAGGGCACAGGCCAGGCTTAGGGACCGCCCCCCCTACCCCAGTGCACAAATTTTTGTGCACTGGGCCTCTAGTCAATGATGAGAGAGAATCATTGATTGGCTGCCTCCTGTACACTCCCTACTGGAGATGAACCCCACAACCCAGGCATGTGCCTTGACTGAGACTCAAACCTTGACCTCCTGATTCATAGGCTGATGCTCAACCACTGAGCCATGCTGGCTGGGCCCATTGTGTTATTTCAATAGTTATAATAGAGCTTGAGAGTTAAGGCAATAGAGCTTGAGATTTAAGACTGTTACCTCTGAAGTCAGACTACTTGGACAGTCTAACATGTATGACCTTGATGCTTCAATTTACTTATTAAAAAAAAAGTTCCCACTTCATAAGGTTCTCGTGAGGATTAAATAAGTTACTTTTCATAAGGCTCTTTTGAACAACAGTGGGTAGTACAATATAACTGTCACTGCCAAGCTTCTTGTAACAACACTTAGCACCCAGCACAAAGCTACGAGGAAATGACCAAGAAATGGCAGTGCACTGAAACTGTTTAGTTTGCTATGGGAAATAAGCCTAATGGCCATCTGGCAGTTTTATTAATGCCAACTGTATACAGATGTAGAGACGTCACAAGACACAGAAGACAGAAAAAAGAGTTTTAGCAAAAGCAGTAGAGATTAGTCACTATACTAGGATCTGTGGCAATACTATAATAGAAAAGGTACTCTTAGAGAAAAGAGAAAAAGACATGAAGGGCCCAAAACGGAATATGAAAAGGCAATAGTGCACCAGTTTTTTCCATTCATCAATATAGGGAATAGGCGATAGAGAATCTTCATCGTACAAAGCAGTATATCTCTTTATCTCATTAAACTAAATTCCTTGAAGAGATGTACCATGTCTTCATCATCTCTGCATTACTCATAACACCTAAACATAAGCAGTAAATAATATGCCAAGTTAAATTCAGTAAGTCTTGCCCTAACCAGTTTGGCTCAGTGGATAGAGCATCGGCCTGCGGCTGAAGGGTCCCAGGTTCGATTCCAGTCAAGGGCATGTACCTTGGTTGTGGGCACATCCCCAGTAGGCGGTATGCAAGAGGCAGCTGACCGATGTTCCTAATTCTCTATCCCTCTCCCTTCCTCTCTGTAAAAAATCAATAAAATATATATTTTTTTTAAAAAATAAATAAATGAATAAATTCAGTAAGTCTTACTGATTCTTAAGTAATGGTAACAAAGATAATGTGCCATGATTAATAATTCAAAAGGCCAGAGATATTCCAAAGTTAGGCGCTGAAGTAATCATGTACATCGGTATAAGAAATATTGGCATCTGTTAAAAACATCCCAAATTCTTACTTGTTGCTCAGACTTGATTTCAGGGATCTTTTCTTCAGGAGTCTTTATTTCAGTATCCTTTAAGTCACTCACAGCACATGCTTCACTCACATCTGTCGTTGTACTTAATGTACTGTCAGAAATGCTCACACCATCTTCATTGTAGAGGTGACGGATCACCACAGCTTTCTTCTGCCCAGAGAAAGCTTTGTCAGAGGTGCTTCAGTGTTTCCCTCACACACAGCCACTTTGCAAAGGAACATCTTATCTTCCCTTTCAGATTTATAAAAGCTTAAATTACTACATATAATGTGTACATAAAACATTAATTAAGCTATTATTTTATGAGTGGTGATGAAATTGTGGTTATGATATTTTAAAGCATTCTTATATATTAGAATATTGAAATATTTCTTCAATGATGTCAGCTTTTGTTTCAAACTGTTTCAGGTTTTGGAGAAAGATGTTGGGAAAACTGGTTATAATAAAGATGAAACAAGATGAGCAAAGAGTTAATAAATTGCTGAAACTGGGAATGAGTACTTTTGTAAGTATTTGAAAGTTACTTTAAAAACAATTTCATCATAAAATAGGTTACCACATAATTCACGTAAATAATCAAGAACTGACTCTGTGAATAAGACATCACAATTTTTTAAAAATTAAACAAACCACAAAATATCAGACGTTTAGCTAATGATTCAAACTAACTATCAACAAAGGGAAAGTCCTGAGAGTAAGGACTTATTCAGTCACAGGTACTGAGCAGATAAGGGCAGGGAAGCTACCTATCAACAAAGAGAAGATATTCAAAACACTACCCCAAACCAGAGTATAGGTTTAGGAACTACCAATCATTGGATTCTTCACAATCCTGATAGAGAAATATGAACACAGATTAATAAAACCACATAACTTATAATGGCATGCTCTGTTTATGTTCCCATGTTGTTACAGGAAGACTATATACATAATTAGGAGTAACTATCCATGAGCACATAATATAACCTTCCTAAATCATTGATATTCTATCTAGGAAACAAGGCAGAAATAAGAATTAGAAATATAAAGAGAAAGCTTGTTCCATTCTACACTTCTACCCTCTTCCTTTTGGAATATTCCCCAGATAACATGATATGCATTGCTAACAAATCCTTACGGTATAATGCCTAACTAGAATGTTTTAACCAGCTGCTAGCTAGAAAAGTGAGCTTGTACACTGGATTAGTTAGGTAGGTAGCTGTATTTTCCGACCTTTCCTGAAGTCATGAACCTGCCAGTGATATCAATGCCAACAGATTCTGCAGATGACTTCTCGCTGCTTGAACAAGGTTCTGACTTAACAAAATTGACTTTCTTTCTTTGTAGTGAGGAAGTCTAAAAAAAAAAAGTATTAAGATGTAAAAAGTTTTGTGTAGAAACATGATGTGCTAGTATATTTAAATTCTAATATCATTTAAATTTTATATATAAAATATGACTGTCAAATAATGAGTCTAAATGCCATATATTTTGAAAACTAAGAAGTAATGAAAATGTACTGTTTTAACTGTTAGTTTAGGACCAGTAGCTCCAAGTTGCAAATGTGCAAACACAAGTGACTAGTATTTAAAGCAAACACCAGGAATTACAAGGTTACACAAATCTTTGAATAATGCAGTAATTATGCTATGTATTAATTTGCTGTCTAGGGTATTGATTTTACACATTAAAATACTCACCACTCAGTCTAAGTTAAAATCTATAAGAAAATTACCTTATCAAGACCACTCAACTCCTTGTGCTTTTTCATCACACAATTCAAAATATCACAAATAATTTGGATTTTCCATTCTGCAAATCCACATTGGAGAAACTGCTTTTTCGTCAAGATTGGTTTATAATTAAATTGATCACGAAGAAGCTATGAAGAGGGAATAGATCAACAAAATACTGGGAACAATCTCTTTCAAAAATCTAAAATAATAAATGGTCACCTGGTTAGGGTGGCCTTTTATTTAAAAGGTATAAAGAGAATTATGACCAGGTAGCAGAGGTATCTAGGTAAAAACAGGTAGTGAGGGATGTACCAAAAATAGATGGCTGTCCAGAGAGATGGAAAAATAAACCCAATGATCCTAATAGGCACTAGAAATACTCCTTAGCTCACTCCATACCAGTTAAGTCAGGAAACCATAGTTTTATGTGTTTATACTTCTTCCACTATATGATTTTTTAGACAAGTCAGTAGGCCTCTGAGTTTCAATTTCTCATTTGTAAAATGAGAGAAATAGACCGGACCAGTAATTCCAAAACCTACTCTTGAACCCTAAGATTTCTTGGAAGTGCCTCTTAGGCTTCCACAGAAGTTTTCTGGGTGAAAGATAAAGAAAGGGAAGATTAAACAGAGACTCTACACATAAAAGCTCCTATTTTATCAAATGCAACTTATTACTTAAAAAAGAAAAAATTTGATTTGATAAATGGGTTTTACCTTTTCTAAAAAAGCTTAAGAAAACTTGAGCAAAAATTAATGATTATAAGTAGGGTTTTTAAAAAACTAAGTATGAGATTAAGTGCATAATACATAATACAAGTGTAAATACTAGGGTAGATATAAGACATGGTCCTAGACGACAAGGCACATAAAATCTCAGTCAAAGCTCTACAAACAACTATATTAACTCATAATTCTATACATCACAAACTTTACTCAATAAAACCACATTTCTCTCTAACTTCTGCCAGCATACCAACTTTTACTAAAATTTGTTGTAAAAATGGCAAATGATACCAATGACAAACGTTTGCCAGTTGTCATATTTAATAGAGTATGAAACATAAAGCAAACTTCAATTACATCTTGATTGCAATAGGGATTATATTTAAATGTGGTAAGTGCATATGAAAATACTGTCAACTATACATGCTGCATATATTTAAGAAATTATTATAAAAACATTAATCTGAAAAAACCACTGATGACTTCTAAAACAATTATTTCATAAACTCAAACATACCTTATAGACGGTATCTATAAAGCGCAAGTCATTCTTTGCTATGAGCTCTACATTGGATTCCATCAGAAGTTCTGCTACATAAGGGGAATATGAGGTAAGAGAATAGCTGATGATGGGCAAAGATGCTGCTAAATCTCCCTTAATCAAACTGTTGGGGGGAAAAAAAGAAAAAGATTTTTAATGAGCATAATTCCACAAAGTTGGAAAATCGGGGCAATATAAGAATTATTGTCAATAATTTATAACAATACGATAGCCATAATAAAGTGATGCAAAGACCCTTCATATTCTATCCCCAACACTAAATTAGTCTAGCCAAATTACTATGAAATTATTACTCATTTGCTCAAACAATTATAATAGCTCTTTAATACCAATAGAAAATCTAGTACATTTGGTCTTAATAAAACAAATGTACCATCTTACAGAGCTCAAGTACACTGTATGCTCTTGCAAGCACTTGTTACCTTACCTCATATGCTTTTTACTACAAACTGCAAAGGTAAAATATTATGAATATGTTAGGTCAGAAAATTAGTCTCAAACTTTGAGAAGCAATCTCATCAAGTACTTATCTAGCCACAATTATGAAGCTAGACATCAGTTTTAGTTTCAAGAAAGCTGGAAAATTCACAAATATGTTCATATTAAACAACACACTCCTGAAAAATCAGTGGATGAAAGAAAAAATAGAGATCTCAAAAGAATATAGAGGTAAAGTGAATACAAAACTTAAGTATAAAATGCAGGAAATGCAATTCTAAGAGGAAAGTTTAAGTTATAGATGAGGAAAACAGGGTTGGGATACTGTCACTAGTCTGATCAGTATCTTCCCCTTGTATTAGGCAGGCCCCTTTGAAATCTGTACCTTATTAGTTTATGCTAATTCCTCCAGTCTAGAAAGGTATCCCACTTTTCTCTGCCTATTATTCATCCTCCGTAAATCATTTGTCAGATACAGAGCTTTCCATGAAGCCATCCTCAACGTTCTGATCCGTATTTCTCTCCCGCAGAATGATTCCCTGGCTATTCAGTATCTGATGGCTCATGCCTGTCTTGTACTCTTGCCTAATTGTCTAACACATATGAATCTCATTTTCTCCATGTGAAGTAATTTCACAGATTCTCCCACAACAAAGCACAGGAGAGGCCAGTTCAATTACTCAGTTATATTTGTTCAATTGAAGTAATAATGCACTTCTGTAAAACATTTGTTTTCCACAAGATTCAAGAGGTACATAAATCCCCCTATTCCCACCCCAATATTTTTAGTAAGGCAGAGAGCAAGTATATGATGACAGCATTACAATTTTTCAGGACAAATATAAATTGTTTCTCTTTTATATTTATGGGCACAATAATATTTTACCCATGAGAAAACTGCTCTGGCAACCTTTTTCACCTGTACAACAGTTTAAAAAAGACATACACAAAAAATGCTTTTGAACAGCAAAATCTGTCCCATCTTATGCATGTTATGAATAGAAGACAGCCAGATCTGCATTTAACATCTCATATAAAACAACCTCAAAAATCCTGGTTATCTATTGTCTAAGAACTTTGATTAGAAACAGTAAGAAGAACAGGTATTATAAACTGGCACACCAAAACAAAAAACAGCAAATCACAAGAAAAAATTTTAAAATGGGAAAAAGTAGAAAGAACCAAAATACGTGTATCTGGGGCTGTGTGTGTATGTGAGGGTGGTAATCTGAAGCAGCAACAAGTCGCACTGCCTATCTCAACAGACCTTGCCAATATTACTGTATTACGAAACTAGAGGCCCGGTGCATGAAATTTGAGCACGGGAGGGAGGGGGTCCCCTCAGCCCAGCCTGCAACCCCTCCAATCTGGGACCCCTCAGGGGATGTCCAACTGCCAGTCAGGGATCAGAACTAAACTGACAGTCGGACAGCACTCTCACAATCCAGGACCACTGGCTCCTAACTGCTCACCTGCCTGCCTGCCTGATCGCCCCTTACTGCCCCCCCTGCTGGCCTGGTCGCCCCCAACTGCACCCCTCCCCGCCAGTCTGGTCACCCTACTGCCCCCCTCTACTGGCCTGGTCACCCCTCACTGCCCCCCTGCCGGCCTGGTCACCCCCAACTTCCCCCCCCCACTGCGGGCCTGGTCACCCCACACAGCCTGCTGTTTGGTTCTTTGGTCGCCCCCAACTAACCCCCCTGCCAACCTGGTTGCCCCCAACTGACCCCACAACCGGCCTGGTCTCCCCACACAGCCTGCTGTTTGGTCATTTGGTCACCCCTCACTAACCCCCCTGGCTAGCCTGGTGGCCCCACACAGCCTGATGCTCAGTGATTTGGTCGCCCCTCATTAACCCCCCCTGCCAGCCTGGTCGCCCCCAACTGACCCCATAACCGGCTTGGTTGCCCCACGCAGCCTGCTGCTCAATCGTTTGGTTGCACCATGCTGCCCTCCCTGCTGGCCTGGTCGCCCCACGCAGCCTGCTGCTCAGTCGTTTGGTTGCCCCTCACTGCCTGGTCACCCATAACTGCCCTCTCTGTGGGCCTGGTCGCCCCATGCAGCCTACTGTTCGGTTGTTTGTTTGCCCCTCACTAACCCCCCAGCCGGCGTAGTCGCCCCATGGAGCCTGTTCAGTCATATGTTCGGTTGCAATGGTTGCTTAGGCTTTTATTATTGTAGATAATCTAAAAAATGATTGTTTTTAATGACACTCTTGGGTCAATAAGAAAACCAAATGTTTAAGCAGTGTACTCAGAAGAAAGGAACATAATCAGTATCTTTTAAAATTATTCCTATACAAATGTCTTTAAAATGTTGATGGTAGTCCTAGCAGTTTGGCTCAGTGGATGGAGTGTCGGCCTGCGGACTGAAGGGTCCCAGGTTCAATTCCGGTCAAGGGCACATGCCTGGGTTGGGGGCTTGATCCCCAGTAGGGGGCATGCAGGAGCAGCCAATCAATGATTCTTTCTCATCATTGATGTTTTTCTCTCTCCCTTCTTCTCTGAAATCAATAAAAACCTATTAAAATAAATTTTAAAAAATGTTGATGATTAAGGTGGTAAGAAGAAAACTTGGCTATTCAAACTGGTTAAGTCCCGGCAAGACCAGACAGTAGAGATTTCCCTCTCTTGAATAACCAGCCTATTGGTATATGCTATGGAAACATACTATGGAATGCCTTCTGTTTCTCATGTATAATACCTGTGACAATAGTCACTAGAGCTCAACTTTCTCCTTGCTCTCCTTACTCTCCTTTCATTTGCAGCCATTTCTTAGTGTTAACTCTCAGTATACATTCAGAACTTCTATTTTTATATATAAAGCCCATTACTCCAGAATTCTACTTAGTAGTTGGTTTAGCCAAGACTCACTCTACTACTTGACAATGTAGCTAATCTGGAGTTGTCCCTTGACACTCATTAAATAAATGTTTAATTAGCTTCTAATATGTGCCAGGCATCATTCTAGATAAGGGGATACTACAATGAACAAAACTAAGTACTAGCCCTGCCTGGTGTAGCTCAGTTGGTAGGGCATTGTCCCATGTACCCAAAGGCTGCCTATTCAATTAATAGACAGGGCATAAGCCCACACTGCAGGTTCGATACCCAGTAGGGAGTGTGCAAAAAGCACAATGTGTTTTCCTCTCACATTGATGCTTCTCTCTCTCTCTCTCTCTCTCCCTGAACTCCAACAAAAAAAATATTTTCTAAAAAAACAACAAAAACTAAGTACTAGATATCAACTTACTTCCCAGAGGGGGAAATATCAATGAATATCTCAGGTAAGAATAGATGTATTAGGGCAGTGATGGCGAACCTATGACACGCGTGTCAGAGGTGACACGCAAACCCATTTTTTTGGTTGAGTTTTCTTTGTTAAATGGCATTTAAATACGTAAAATAAATGTCAAAAATATACATCTTTGTTTTACTATGGTTGCAAATATCAAAAAATTTCTATATGTGACACGGCACCAGAGTTAAGTTAGGGTTTTTCAAAATGCTGACACGCCAAGCTCAAAAGGTTCGCCATCACTGTATTAGGGGATAGAGGGTGACAGGAATACCGTATTAGATTGGCATGAATATAGAAGAAATGTATGTTGCTTTGCTACAACCTACAAAAGCAAGTCAGTCATATTGGGAAAGTGGAAACTAGCGCAAAATGTCCAAATGTGGGGTCTGTTATATGAGTTAGCTTAATAATCTTCAGGCAAGGTATAAGTGGTCATAAGAAATCTATTAAGTAGAATCTTCCAAATAATAAAGAAATACTATCCAACTAGATGTGAGAGGGTGGTAAGTCATATAACTAATGAATTCATTACATTTCTACGAGTTTAAAAGTTGTACAGAGACCATACCATATATGAATGTATATTTTGCTGCTACTTCTTTTTGTTTTCAAAAAAATATATTTAAATATATTTTTATTGATTTCAGAAAATTAGGAAGAGGGAGAGAGAGATAGAAAAATCAATGATAAAAGAGAACCATTGACTGGCTGACTCCCGCATGCCCCTGACTGGTGACTGACCAGAATCGAACCCAGAGCCCTTCAGTCTGCAGGATGAGGCTCTATCCACCAAACCAAACCAGCTAGGACTCAAAATATATTTTTATTGCTTTCAGAGAGGAAGGGAGAGGGAGAGAGAAAAACATCAATGATGAGAGAAAATCATTGATCAGCTGCCTCCTGCACACCCCGCACTGGGGATAGAGCCCGCAACCCAGGCATATGCCCTTGACCAGAATCAAACCCACAACCCTTCAGTCTGCAGGCCGGCGCTCTATTCACTGAACCAAGCCAGCAAAGGCTTTGCTGCTACTTCTAAAAGGTGATTTAAATCTCAAGTTAGACTTTAAAATTCATATTTAGAAATAAACTCCTATAATTCCCCGCTTTCTAAAATCATTTCTAGGAAAATTATTAAAGTGCCCAGATAAAATCAGTGTCTTTATTTAGATACTCCCCCATGTCAATTATATCAAATCATTACCAAAAGACTACAAATACGCTTTATACACTAGCTTACCCTACACAATCCACTTCTTGAGGATAATTTAGTGAGCGAAGCATTTGTTCTAGGTTCCGTAAGCTTCTCTTCAAGTCGCCTGTTGCCATTATTTAACATTACATTCAGCTCCAGCTTTTGAAATAATCTAATATTTCACCTAAAAGTAAAAATTTATAAAACAATTAAGTCTGTGTATTTTTGAAGCTTCTCTATTCTATTTTGTTCACATATCCTATTTTGTTCACATCTCCATACTTACCTTGGCTAAGCTATTTTTCCCCTAACTTATCTTCTCTACTGGTCTAGTATTGCCTAGTATTTATCTCATATTCCTGAATATAAGGTGTGTTTTCCCCCCAATATTTTTTCCTTATTAAAAAAAAGTTTGCTTTATATTCACGTTCTTGAAATGTGTCTCATATATGATACTCTCCCAGATATTTTATTTTGAACAATAAAGTACCATTTGAGAAGACACATCAATCTGAAATAGTCTACATCAAAGACTATTTTGGATGCTTATGAAGGGTACATTAAAAAAAAATCAGTAAAAAATGGAGACAGAATAAGCACAGATTTAGTCATAATTCCCAGAGCTCTGACCTCACCCAGTTGCCAATAAGATGCTTTAGTTAAAAAAACAAGTGATTAAAAACCACATATCCTCACCAGGGCAAAAAGAACTATAGGGATTCCATAACAGAAGAGGTATCAACAAAATTTTGGAAGATGGAAAGCAGATGGATGAGTAACAGCCAACCTAGCAGAGCACAGACTGGCCAATCCCATCTATTTAGGAGAAAACCAACAGCAGCAACATAGGTTCAGAAATGAGGGTACCCTTACAGTTCTGCAAGGGGTAAGGCCGAGGGGTACTGAAACAAGGATGATTATATGAAAGTTTATATATAAGGAGCTGCTAAATACTGGTTTTTCACTTCCCTTCCTGTCTCTGACACATAACTTGCTCAACTGGGCAAATAGCTGTCTGTGCCTCTGCGTTTAACTGTCCTCTAGCTTGTTTCATGTTTGTGTGTGTATGTGTGTGTGTGTGTGTGTGTGTGTGTGTGTGTGTGTGTGTGTATATATATATATACATACACATACATACTAGAGGCTTGCTGCACGAAGAGATTTGTGCAATAGGCCTTCCCTTCCCTTGGCTGCTGGCACCAGTTTGCCTCTGGCACCCGGGACCCAGGCCTTCATTCTGGGCGGGCTCCAGCCGGAGCCAGCCCCAGAGCCATCCGGCTTCGCTGCTCTGGCCCCGGGCCGTCTGGCTTTGCTGCTCCAGCCCCGGGGCTGTCAGGCTTTGCTCCGCCACTTGGAGCCTACGTATGCAAATTAACTGCTATCTTTGTTGGGTTAATTTGCATACTCTCCTGATTGGCTGGTTAGTGTAGCAAAGGTACAGTCAATTTACATTTTTGTCTATTATTAGGTAAGATACACACATACACATATATACACACACACACATATATACATGTGTATGTATATATCACATGTATATATCACATGTGTATGTATATGTGTGTGTGTGTATATATGTGTATATATGTGAATTAATTCTGATACTTGAATTAAGTAAGTGGATGATTGAATAGTAGCAGCTACGCTTTCTCAATGCTGGAGTGAGAATTTACTGATAAGCAAGGGGAGGAGACAAGAATAAGCCATGCCTAATGGATTAGTTAGAGACATTAGTATGAATTTATGTTTAGCTCAATATAGATACAGATAGTTGCATATTGAAATATTTATAGATATGTAGATATAGACAGCTTAGTATATACACATCTATTTCTGCTCTCTGCCAGCTGAAAGTGACTAAAAGCAATGGCACCCCAGTAGCAAAGAGCACACATGGCATCCAGATCTTGGTGTGTAATGCTATTCTCCAATAAAGAAAGCAGGGCTCCCTGGAGAAAAGACCAATTGTAGAACTGGGGCAGGAAATATGCAAAATGAACCTGAAGCATTATGTAGTTCCAGAAAGTAAAAACAACACACAAAACAAACAAACCAATCCAACATTGATGGGGGTACATCAAAAGGGCACAGGAGCCAAATGAAATAGCTCCCAATGATCAAAGTTAACACACTTTGAACAATAAAATTAATAAAGTAGTATGAACTTATTATCTAATAAAAGACAAAGATGGTAATTGACTGTACCTTCACTATGCCCACAGGCCAATCAGAAGAGTATGCAAATTAACCCAACAAAGATGGCGGTTAATTTGCATACACAGGCACCCAGCAAAGACTGAAGACAGCGTAGAAGGAAGCCAAGCACTGCAGAAGGGAGCCAAGCGGCAGAGAAGGGAATGGATCGGAGATAGCAGAGACGAGGGCGGAGCTGAGGCGGTGGACACGGGAGGGAGCCGAGGTGGCGGAGAAGGGAGGAAGCGAAGTGGCAGAGAAGGGAGGCGGCCGAGGCAGGAGACAGGAGGAAGCCGAGGGCTAAGCGGTGAAGGGAGGGAGCGAGGCAGAGGAGAAGGGAGCGAAGCCTGCCTCGGTGGGCTTTGCTCCCTTCTCTGCTTCGCTCCAGTCTCAGGAAGCCCTATTCTTGCAGGAATCTTCCTGCAACAGGCCTCTAGTCCAAGGTATTAAAAAAAAAAAAATCAATCAGTATAATTCAATACATTAACAAATAAAGGAAAAATCTTATAATTTTAATACATGCACAACAGGCATTTGCTAAAATTCAACACCCATTTATTTCATAATTCTTATGACATTAGAAATAGAACTAACTGCATTTGATAAAGATCATCTACAGAAACCTCTTGTAAACATTATACATCATAATAGTGAAATACTGAAAACTTGCTTCCTGAGATTGGGAATGAGGCAAGCTTACTTAGTCTCATCATTTCTATTCAACATTGTACTAAAGGTGGTAGGCAGTACAAAAGTTCAAGAAAAAGAAGTAAAAGGAATGAAGACTAAAAAGGAAGAAATAAAAATGTCACTATTCACAGACCACATAACTGTATATGAAAAAAAAATAAAAAGAAATAAGTGAATTTAACAAGGTTGCTGGATAGAAGGCCAATTGTATTTCCCTGTATTCCCCAAATAATTAAGAGATGTTTAAAAATTATGTATGTATAAATAACTCACTATAGCCTCAATAAATAATCATAAACATGTGAATAAATCTGGAAAATATATGTAAGACCTCAAAACAAATAAGTCATAAAACTCTAGTGAGATATATTAAAGTAGCCCTAAATAGAAGAGATATACACATTGATCAAGGATTGGAAGACTCGGCCTTAATCGGATTGGCTCAGTGGATAGAGCATCGGCTTGCAGACAGAAGAGTCCCAGGTTCGATTCCGGTCAAGGGCATGTACCTTGATTGAGGGCACATCCCCAGTGGGGAGTGTGCAGGAGGCAGCTGAATCGATGTTTCTCTCTCATCGATATTTCTAACTCTCTATCCCTCTCCCTTCCTCGCTGTAAAAATCAATAAAATATATTTTTTTAAAAAAAGAATTGGAAGACTCAATATATATTGATCCATAGATTTAATGCATTCCCTCGCCCTCCCCCCAAAAAATGCCTGCAGTTTTTCATAGGTGGACATTATTCATAGGTCTAAAATATATATAGCAATGCAAAAGAAAAGAATAACTATCAAGTTAAATTTGGAAGACTTAATGACTAGATATCAAGATTCAGTATAAAGTGAAATTTGGAATAAGTGAAAAGATGTACAAATAGGACAATGGAACAGAATACAGTCCAGAAACCGACCACTGACACTAAATTTATGACAAACTTGATGCTGAGTAGCCCTGGAGAAAGGATGGTCTTTACCCATAAATGATACTTTGTCAACTGAATATCCAGATGGAATAAATAAAACTTGAATCCCTGATGTAAAGGGTGCCTCACATCCTTCACAAATTAATTTCAGGTTTGTTGAAAATCTAAATATAAAATATAAGACGACCAGATTTTCTGGAGATCACGGAAGAGAATAATCTTTATGAACTTCAGGTGCAGAAGAATTTATCTTATGATAAAATGAAACACATTAAAATTAGTAACTCTGTTCATCAAAAGACACCTTTAAAAGAGTAGAAAGATAAGCCGTTGAGTGGGAGATGATGCTATCATATATGTAACCAACAAAAAGAATCATGTCTACAGTATGTAAAGAAATTCCTACAAAACAATAAGAAAAAAATGGTAACTCAATAGAAAAATAGGAAAGAGACCTGATCAGGAATTTGACAGAAGGGTAAACATGTGAAAGGATACTCAATCAAATTAATTATTGAAATCTTAAATCTACAGAATTCTGTGCAAGAGTATATTAGTGTTACTTGGCAATATCTGCTAAAGATGGTATACATAAGGCCTATGAGACAGAAATACTAATTCAAAAAATTTACATAACAGAATATGTATTTATATATGTTTGTGCAGCAAAACACATGAAAAATATTTTTTAAATATATTTGTATTGATTTTCTACAGAGAGGAAGGGAGAGGGATAGAGAGTTAGAAACATCAATGAGAGAGAAACGTTGATCAGCTGCCTCCTGCACACTCCCCACTGGGGATGTGCCTGCAACCAAGGTGCATGCCCTTGACCGGAACCAAACCTGGGACCCTTGAGTCCGCAAGCCGACGCTCTATCCACAGGGCCAAACCAGTTAGGGCCATATGAAAAATATTTGACATTTTAAATAAAATGGTTCACTTTTTAAAAATCCCAAAGAAAATAATACCATAGGATTATATTTTTAAATGAGTGATGTGGTAGGGCTTTTGTTAGATTCTCCAAAGAAAAGGTTATTCCCTAAGGAGGTCATAAAAAAAAAAAAATACATTTTTATAAATAGTTAAGAACCTTTGCTAGAAAGAGATGAAAGAGATATATGTCTAGTCAACCAGTAAGGCAAAACACAATAACACTTAAAAATATCTACTTGGAACTGTACATGGACACTTCATAGAAGGAAAATCTATATAAAAGTCTAAGTGACTGAATGACCAAACCACCGGTCGACTGGCTGCTATGATGCGCACTGACCAGAAGGGGGCAGATGCTAAATGCAGGAGCTTCCCCCTGGTGGTCAGTGTGCTCCCACAGCCAACCTCCTGTGGTCCCTTCCCCTGGCCAGCTGGCCCTAATGGCCCAGATCGGGCAGTAGGACAACCTTCCCCAGCCCCTCCCCCAAGCCAGCCAAACCTTCTGCGGCCCGGATCATCCTGACCGCTGGCCAAGCCAACGGACCCCACCTGTGTATGAATTCGTGCACTGGGCCTCTGGTAACATATAACAATACCTTGAGTAATGAATCTTCGGGAACGAAGCTTCTTTAAAGTGAAGCCATTGACATTAAAATTAAAACAGAACAATTCATAAATCAGGGGAAGTAGAATTAGCATGATCTTTCACCCAGTCAACCTCCCAGCAGTTACCCAGGATACAAATCATCTCTCTACACACCTTCTAACTAGAGGCAATAAGGCTAACAATGTGCAAAATCCTAAATTTAGTAAGCTATCTAGTTTAAGCTCCTAGGCATCCCATTCTGAACCTTTTCTCTGTTTTAGGAACACAGTATCTTCCTGATCCAAGTCTCCTCTCCTTTATCAATATGGTAAAGAACAGGTTATTGACTATATTTTTATACACTCATGCATGTGTTTTAGTCACTATTTTTCAGCCAATCAATTACTTCAACTAAGCATTTACATTTTTAGGCAGGAGGAATTTCGGGTACTGTCAAATGGGAGATAACTAGAAAAGAAAGGAAGTACTCCTCAAATCACATTGTACAAAATACTGGCCGAAAAGGCAAATCTTTTTTTAACATCATTTAGGATGATTGGGGATCAACAGATATATGGAAGAAGAGAGATGACTTCTCATGAACACGACCAGCCTTTACTTTCCAGGAAAAGATGAGTTGGGAACTAAGCTGGCTGTAATTGTCATTGGCCATTATAGAAGGTCTGAGGTTAAGTTCCAGACACATCTATTTTAACACAATTCTTCTTGGAGCACCTTTTCCCCTCAGACATTCTATAACTTTAATATACATTGTATTTCTTCCCACAGACTTCCTTTTATCCTGCATATTCCATCTTTCTAGTACAGGTCATTTCATTTCATTTAACACTTTATGGTATCTATTCCATCTTTCCTTTCTCTGTAGTTCTGGAACATATATCAATGTCTCATTATTTCTACCTCTGGTAATGGAATTTCTGACCACAAAGTATGTCCCTGGAACACATCATCTTCAGTGCCAGCGGAATCAATATTTTGAAGAAGAGTAAGATACAAGTACAGCTTGGATCTGTAGGTGAAGGAGATAAGTGATAAGAATAGAATAAAAAAAAAAAATAAAGGGATACAAAACGTGAAATCATAGAAAAATTATAGTTACTGCTCTATAGTTTCATGAAAGGCTTTACTGAGTCTACTACAAGATTAAAAATTAAGATATTAAAAAAGTCAATCTCGAACTTATGCACATTTAACATAATACTTTCGGAGATGAAAAATAACTTAAAAAAAATAACATTTACACTTTATAACCCGTATCAAAGGAAAGTAAAAGAAGAAGATATTACTCAGCTTGTAGCATGGATCCAACCATTACGATGGTCTCAATATTGCTTCCTGGCTTCCTCCAGAGAGCTCTCTCTGCAAGTCAGCTCTGCCCAATCGAACCCCATTTTCAATCGAGCGAGAGATCGTGGCTGTTGGGGGTCATGCAAGGATGCCTCCCAATGGAATGCCATTAAACTCAGAGGGATTTTTGATCAAAATGAAGCAACTATACTGACGACAGCGATTGCGGTTGATGACTTAAGTTTGCGACATTGCTCATAATACTAGATATTATCTAAAAACCGTGTATCAAAAATAGAGGAGTAGAAAGAGGAAAGGTTTAAGTTTATAAAACTTTTCACAAAAAATATTAGGGAAACACTGTTCTAAGAGAGAAAGGGCTGGGAGAGAAAACATTGAGAAAATGGGGGGGGGTGTGGAACAAGGGAAGTAAGGGACAAGTATAGACAGAGTTCAGACTGTCGTGTTCACATATAAAACTGTTGAAAGGTTTGGACAACTTTAGAAAAACAGGTTAACACAGACGTAATTCCGGAATCAAAACGTCAAGATTGATTTTTTTTTTTTTCATAGTGAGGGAAAAATCAATAGTCTCCTAGGAACATGGAAACATATTGAAACCCCAGGGACATGCCAAGCAAGGAACACATGCACCACTTTTCATCTCTTCCTTCCAGTCAATATTTCCGAGGAGCTCAGCTCAGAGGCTGCAACAGGAGGGAGCGGTCTACCACTTCGCTACCGTAAATCACAACCGAATCCCAGAGGATGCGCTGCCACGGTTCTTCGCTGTCACGAAGGGACGTAAGCAGTTGGGTATACTATAGGCAAGACACGTCTAGGGGCCCTCCTCCCTCCACGAGATTTAAAAGGACGAAAAGACAGACCTGGTCATCGCTCACACTCGGGGCCTCGGTCACGGCATCAGAGAGAGGAGAACTCAGCCCAGTCTAAGGGGCAGCCTCGCCAGCTCCTCGAGGCTCCCCCAGCAGCCGCGGGGCCAAGAAGCGGACTCCGAAAGGGAGGGGTGTGGAGGGGTTCCTATGCAACCAGCCCAGCCGCCAGCAACAAATCCCGGCAGCCGCAACCCCGCGCCCCGGCGCGTTTCTCGCGCCGACCGTTTGTATCTGCAACAGCGGGTCAGAGCCCGCCACGCAGCGCGACCGGGCCTTCGGAGCGGCAGGCTTCCCACGCTCCACGATTCCTCGCCGCAGATTCCACACCACGTTCGTCCAGACCCCCGAGGACGCTGACTCTGCTGAGGGCCTTGTCCACAGCCAGTCCGATCCCAAGCTTCCAGAGGAGAAACTGTCCCCAGTTTTGATGCTCGGAGTGGCTCGGGAGGCGAAGTGAGAAACGGGGAATCTGTAAAGAATCGTCCACAACGGAGATAAAAATGCTTTTGCTTTAAGCCTCAGACCTCACACGTCACTTCCGGCAACAATAGGAAACGTCAAACCTCGGGCTGTCGGCAGCCCTCGCTGCTGCAGCTGGAGGTGCGCTCCGTTTGGAGGAAGCTGAGGCTGTTTCTGGGGTTCTCGCCGCCCTCACCCTCACCGGCGTGAACCGGGAACGTCTGAACCGGCTTCTCCAATGGCCTGGGCACCAGTTCCCGGCTGAGCTCTTTTCTGTTTGGCTAAAAGCCCCCGTCAAGAGGCCGAGTCGTCGCGGCGGCGGTGGGGATCGCAGGTCGCTCAGGTACCAGCGTCAGCCTAGATATTTCAGGGCTCCTGCTTCTTTTCCCCTCCACTCCCCCACTTTTCTCCTCGGAAATGAAGATAACTGGTGCTCGCTAGTTAGTAGAAACTTGCCAACCAGCGAGACTTTGGGACCAATGACAGTGCAAAGCTTCTTGAGTGACAGCGGTGACGGCTTATTAAAGTGGGGAATAAGGCGGTGTCAGCAGGCGGGAATAGGTGTGTTCTGGGGTTTTCTAGGCCATTAAGGTCAGCCTGGGACCCGACGTAGTGACCCAACTTCATCCTGAAATAAAGCCGAGAAGAGGCGATGATTGTCCTTTTCTAACCCAAGTGTTGCTTTTCGAGCAAAGTAGGTTTTGTTTCCGTCGTGTGGTTTTTTTTTTGTTGTGGCTTTTTTTTTTTTATGCCTAAGCACAGTTTTCGGTTCTTTACATACTTTTCAGTAATATGAATGCAAATACAGTTAAAGTCACGATAGATTGCCAGTTGCTTCAGTTATCAAACTTTGGTTATAAATTTGAAAGCTTCTTCGTTTGCCCTCTTTTGTTTGAGTCTCTGTGACTGGGCTTTAGTTTCTTATATGGTGGATGCTCAATGACATATTATTAATTGGATGGAGTAGCATAAATGATTCCTAATCCTCAGCCATTGAAGGTTTTCGTTGTTTTATTTTTGGGTTCTGTTTATGTTTTGTTTAGGTTTAGTAATTTAGTAATTGTGCATGCTTGTTTTAACCAGTGGAATTTAGATTTTAAAGGATCCCAGGTGTTTCTGTCTAAATCAGTATATCATGATGTTTACTATTGCAAGGTGGAGCTAATTTGTGTTTTCCATTTCAGTTTTTCTTCTCCCTCTTTTAATGTTTGGCGTTTGGTAACCTTATTTCTGAGGTAGAAGTCCCCTAATCCCCCCGCCCAAGAAAATGGTTTGCAAAATTGAGGAGAATGAAGAATACAGGTTTTTTTTCTATTTTTTCAGGTTGAGTAGGAAACTTCCCATCTTTATCCAGTTAACTTGACAGTTTGTCTGATTAGATCCTTCCTTAGTTACCCCTTGCTGAGTAACAAATTGCCCCCAAATTTAGCTGCTTGAAATAACAAGGATTTATTATATCAAAGTTTCTGTGGGTCAGAAATTCATGACACGCTCAGCAGAGCACCTCTGACTCATGGTCTTTCCTGCAGTTGTGGTCAAGCTGTACATGGGGGCTGAGATGTCACCTGGAGATTCCACTGCGGGGGAGAAGGATCCACTTCCCAGTGCTCTCGCCTTGTATTGGCAGGCCTGACTTTCCACCACAGGGGCTTCCCCACAGGGCTGCCTCGCAACATAGCAGCTGGCTTCAATCTAACGGAGTCCCAAAGGCTCTCTATAGTCTTTTATAACCTGATCTCAGAAGTTTACCCCATCACTACTGCCATGGTGTTTGTTGGAAGTGAGTAAATAATTCAACCCAAAATCTACCTGGAGAGGATTACACAAGGGCTTAAGTCCCAGGATGCAAGGATCTTTGGGGGCCATCTTAGAGGCTGCCTAAGAGATATTCCGCCTGATAAATTTTAGGAGGTAATAGATAGGAATAACTGAGCAGAAATGAGTCAGACAAGGAGGAATGTCAGACTGTAAAGAAATAAACAAACTTACACAAGCCTTATCTCATGGAAAAGTGTTTTGGTGTGTGTGTTTTTGTTTTTTTGTTTTTTCTCCTTTTTCCCCCCTACTAATTATTTGAAGAGAGGCTCATTATTTTGCTTGGGGAACTGCCTGAGGGATGATGTGTGTCTGAGGAATGCTTGTGTTTTTTAAGGTACTGTGAGCAGAGCATATCACAGCTGGAGATTGTGTATTCCTTACTCATTGCCATTTTATGTGGCTGAAATTGTATCAAAACAAACATGAGCAAAGTTAGCTTTTAAGGAGGAAAGAAAAGGTAGAGGGAAGCCTTCTGGTGTAGAAAGCAGGCACATCAGTGGAAGCCTTTATGGTGGTATGAGATCAAAAAGGGATTGGGGAGAGGTATGTCCTAGAGTGGAACTTTATCTTGTATGCCTGTTTTTAAGCACTATTAGGTGGCAGGTACCACCTTTTCCAGCATTACCTGGATGTACCTTACCAGCATAGCTTTTGTCAGGGAGCCATATAAGTTTATCAGAAATTAAAGGTATAGACTTCAAGTTTTCTTGTGACACGATTTTGGCTGTGACCCACTGTAAAAATGTCTATGCTTCTTCCAAGTTTGAAAGATGTTGTAAATCCTTATCTGTAAGTAAAGTATTACTCAAGTTTATCTCTTATCCCTCAGGGGCTTAATACCAGCCTGATTGTGTCAATTCTCAGATTGTAAATTTGGCTTTTAAATTGGGGCTCCCTATCAGGTTAACATACTTCATTTATAGGAGTTTGGGGCCCTTAGATGGTTGCAAAATTTTAAACAGATGCTTACAAAAGTAACACAGTTGATGTACTTTCACCCATACAATATCTTAAGGTAATAACTTCTAGATAAGCTAAAACATGAATTGTAATTTATTATGTATGATCAGTTTAATAGGGAATGTTTTGTGTGTGTGTTGTGCTTTGTGTAAACTAAAACATTGAATTGCCAAGAGATGACCTTTTTTATCATAGTACATTGAAATTAGTCATTCAGATTTATGATTTTATAGTTCATTGATGAGCCAACTGCTGTGTACACTATGTTTTTCTATATCTTCATTCAAATTTGGAAACAGACTAATGCCTTGGTTGGCCTGTGATAATGCATCAAAATAATTAATATTGACAAGACACTGGGGAGGGAGGCTGGGGGAAAGTCAAGGGGGGGGGGGATGGGAGACATATGCAATACTCTTTGTAATACTTTAAGCAATAAAAAAAAATTTTTTAAATTAATATTGAAAGTCTGTGAAATATACATCTAACCCATGATACTTTTTCATTGAAGTATTTTACTTAAAATTTTAAAACAACATTAATATCATACATCTTCTAAAAATTTATGTTCCCCATTTCTTTATTTTTTTCTCATTATTTTGTTATTCTGACAAATTTATTGACATAGATTCCACACTAAAACTAAAATGTCCTAACTTGAGTAAGATTACATCATATTTGGGGCAAATACTTTTATGATATAAAGATGAGAAAAGATATTTGTGGTTTCAAATTTAAGCAGCAGATTTAGGGAGTTTAGCTCTGTAATCAGCAGTTTGCATATTCTTCAAGAATAGGTCGCACAGCATTTCATAAACTGATTGAAAGAAGGAGCAAGATTTTAGCAAGTGAGTCATGCTTGGAGAACAAGCCCCTGGGCTCTTGCTGAATAGTGATTTGTAGAAGTCATGAACATGGAAAAGAGAGATGGGAAGGGCAGATGCTAAATACACTCAAACACACATACATGCATCTGTCTCCATCACCTCTGCATTTTACCTTCTAAAAGAATGTCTTCTCATTTTATTTTTATAGAATCATAGAATTTGATAGCTAAAAGAGACCTTAGGGATCACCAAGTTCAAAATCCTTGTATTACAGGTGAGGAAACTGAGACTTTGAAATTTAAGTAACTTGCGCAGTACTCACAACTAGTTAAAGAAGGAGCCTGAATCAAAACCATGTTTTGTGTTGGAATCTTTATTATTAGATGTTTCTCATCTCATTTCTGATTTTCCTCCTATTTGGGACTTCCTTTGATATTTATTTTATTTAATATATTGTTTGGTTTGTATAAAAGTAATTCAGTAAGAGTTATAGTCTTGGTTTTGTATTTAATTCCACAACTCTCATAGGAATGGCCATTGTGGTTGGTGGGCATGGGGTGTGGTATGTCCTGAGGAGGTGAGTTGGGATATGCAGCTGCTGATTATAATTGGGTTGAGTAAATAGTGTAGTCAAGGAAGAACCAGTGTAATTACAAATAATGCTGGTGAGAAGTATGATAAATTTATTTAAAAGTTAAAACAGACAGTGGAACATTTTTTGGAAAAAAAAAAGCTGAAGAAATTAAATAGGCACGCAGTTCTCAGCTTTTGGGTTACATTTAAATGACACATCTTAATTTTTACATTTGTTCAGATGCCATTTGGTAACACTCATTATAGAATCAAATTAAAGAACAGGAAAAAACCTCCAGAAAACAAAGTAATATTGTAAATCTTTGTGAATTAAAACAAGTACAACTGGTATGCCTTTTAGGAACAAAAACTGCTCTTGCAGGACCAGATCTTTAAATTTAATGACTGGGTTTTTTTATGTGTTTAATGTACCCTGTGACCTCTTAGTACTTAGCTATTTCCCTTTTCTCCTTAGAAAGACCTCCTTGTGGACGGACCCTTCCTTCATTTCTCTACAGTTGTTGCCTTTCAATTTTAGAGGTGTGATTGGTTATCAGGTTTTTTCTTTCCTTTCCTTTTTTTTTTTTTTTAAATTCTCTACTCAGACTTTTCTAAACTACTTTGGTGGTCTGTTCTTTTGGAAGTAGGGAAGTAAATGCTGGGCTGCCAAATTGATTCTAAACGTCACCTAGAAAATACTTTCTCACAGAATCTCCTATGTTCCTATGCCATTGAGTAATATCATAATATCACTTAAAGAT